CTCAGGTCATGATCCTGGAGTCCCGGGATCGAGTCCCGCATCGGGCTCCCTGCTCAGCAGGGAGTCTGCTTCTCCCTCTGACCCTCCTCCCTCTCATGCTGTCTCTCATTCTCTCTCTCTCAAATAAATAAATAAAATCTTTAAAAAAAAAAAAAATGTTTAAAGGACATTTGTTTTAATATCAAGATACACTGACTGCAAAACCTCTTCCATATTCTTTAGGGATATTAGGACCTAGAAATAAAACTGCTCTAACCAAGGTCATCAATGACATTCTACCTTAAAGCTTTAAAATAGAAGTCTCATTATCCACATGAGATGACTGATACTGTGAATTTAACAAGTACCTTATATGTGGAGTCTTACTATACCAAGAAGCTACAGTGACACATGTGACAGTCATTTCCTTGCAACTCTGCTAAAATAAGCATTTGACCAAACAAAAGGCCTTCTGCAGGTAGGACAAGTATTCACAGATTATACAGGACACTTAGTACCAAGACTCAGATCTTAACAGAACTTCTTTTTAAAAAGAAGTTCTCTGCCTCATAACGAGGCACTCCTTTAAAAAATATAGTCTGAATTGAGACATAAAAGCTTAACATTTAGACTGTGATGACAGAATGCCAAAAAAAAAAAAATTATATTTCCAAGAGAACAAACGATTCTTTTAAAAACATACATAGAAATAATAAAACTAACACCTTTACACATCTACATCTACACTAATGCATAGAAGTTTGAAACCTAGAAAGCATTTCTCCCCCATCTCAACTCTGAACTGATTCAGAGATCACTGTATAATGAACTTATTTACTTCAATTTTAAATGTCATGAAATTATTTTCTACACAGCAAATTTAGTTTTATATATAGAAGGACTGTAAGCATACACATCTAGGGATTACCCAGTAAACCACGAATATTTTATCTATTTCCCATAAAATACAGCTAACATATGGTTGTGGTACATCCCAGGCAGATGTCATTTAAGCACACAACGGGAGGTGCTAGCAAAAGAAATACTCATTTGCAAAAGTAAACAGATAACCCTTCCAATATGATGTACCACAACCACACATGAGAAAAGTCAAGAACTTTTTATTTTAAAATAAACATTGAAGATATACCCCCCCTTCCCCACCACCCTACAAAAAACTTTTGAATGTGGAATGTTCAACAGCCTATCCATTTTAGTAGGTTACAAAACCAGCAAAAACTCCAGTTGTCTAATAATGAATGTTTGAGAATAGTTTTGTGTCTTGTTTTTTGTTTTTCTTTAGTAGCTGAGCACCTACTGGAAAAATTCCTTAGCTAAAGGCTAATAAAACAAAATTCAGTTTCTGCACAGAAAATACCATTCACTTAGTATTAGTAGCCTTTGCTGAATAGATGGGATTAATTCTCCATGAAGTCAAAGTGGGATATGACAAGCAGCATTAAGTTCATAGGCACACAGAACAAGTGCTCAAACTGCTAGCACAAATTCCAACAGTACATAAATTACTAAACTGTCATCTCCATCAAACTTGTGACTCTCCCTATGCATCTAAGTGAAGGAATCACCACTTTGAATATAAACGCCTCCATGAGAAAAAGATAATTCAGTTAGGGTTAGACAAAAGATAAATGCAACTGCTACAGAAATAGCTGCTGGAGATAACCATAAAATTTGAAACACTAACAATGCATGGGGTGAACCACATAAGCTGCTAGCTGTTGAACACCAGTGTTTCAAGATACAACTTTTATAAACAAGTTTTATTTGTTTTGCTTATACCATCAGAACTGAAACTACTGTCTGTCATTTCCCTAAAATAGGGAAATCAATCTAAAACACATACTGGTGCTTTGCAAAAGATAGCAATTTAAAAGGGTGGTAGCAGCAGGCATTTGATATTTTTCTTTTAAAAACCTTCAGGCTGCAGGAAAAACATGTGACCAAGGGTGTTACGATTATCCATTAGATATTTTCATCAGTACCTGTACCAATTTAGGTGACAATACAGCAAGATCCAAGGATTAGTGACAGACAATGTACATTATAAGGAATGATATATAGTACCAATCCTTACAAAAGTCATTGTCGAAGAAACTGTTAAGTGTTCAAAAAGGTATCTAAATACTTCACATTAAGTACAGAAGCGGCCATCCAGATTACATCCCATATTTGTTGCATATTTTTCCAAAAAGTGCCAATCAAAGCCTATTTTGCATTTTGGCTTTGTCTTATACAGTATCAGCTGTTAAAAAGCAATTTACATGTGTTTTTAACCACAGTCGTTTGACCAGAGGATGAATAGTGCTGTGTCAAAGCTGGTAGCCAGCCTTTTGTATTAAGGGCCCATACATAATTTGGTATGCATCTAACGTTCAGTGCTCCAATTTAACCGGAAAAGCTGTGAAATGCAGTTGTTCTGCCAAACCACACTCCACTCCTTCTCAAAAGGAAAATATTTTAGTTTTGTCAATTACCATTGAATAACTCTAGGGCTGATTTGTAGATTTTATCCAATGTCAAAAGTCAATCTTGCTTTTTCCAAGCCACTTCAAATAACTACGGAGAGATCACCCTGTAAAGTGTATTATGTTTTACTCCTAAGCAAGGGTGAGGAATCTGAGTATCATGTGCAAGGCTCAAGATGACGCTTAGGACAGAACATGCAGAATAAAAATAGTTTCCTTCCATATCCAGGTAATATAAAGCTGACAATTGTAGTCCTGTCTTTATGGGATGAAAACAGTCCCTTTACAATAAGTTTCCTGAAAGGGAGAACAAATAGATAATAACTCTTCTGGTAACATATTATGGTACACTGGCCAGTGTGTTTTGGCGTTTAAACATAATCCTGTGAATCAGATTAATTCACTTGCTGAGTGTTCATTTGCGGCATCCCTCTGTTGGGTCTTGGGGGCCCTCCACGACCTAGAAGACAAAAATGGCATTTGGTTTTTCTTTCAAATATTATTTGCTTTGCCTTCAAGCAGATTTTCATCTGAAGTCAAGAAGCATGTGGGCAGCTTGTCACATTATTAGGTTTAAGAGGTCAATTCTTCAGTGTTCACCTGTCCTGGAAGTTGTCATGCGCAAATTTGCTCATGTTCTCTAGCTAAAAGAAGAGTAGAGCTAATGGAGTATTCCACCAGTACTCATTCATTCATTCATTCAACAAGTATTTATTGAGTGCCTACTATGTGCCAGGCACTGTCATCAGGCGTTGGAAATAGATACAGCAGTGAAGACAGACAAAGTACCTGCTCTCATGGAGCTTACATTCTAGTGTACACTCTAGCTTACATTTCAGTAGTAAGTAACATCATACTATCAAAATTAATAAAAGCACCAGAATGAAAAACAGACCTTGTTACCTAAACTGTTAAAAAGAAACTACATAACATTCAAAATTGTATAATGACTTGTAACAGATAAAATAACTTTTTACATGCTGTTAAAACAGATTTTTAGCTACCAGTCAACTCAACTTTCATAGAATATGCTACAAGGTGAGAAAGAACATAACCCACATTCACATGCAAATATCCTTTGATACTTCAAGTCAGTTAATTCCCAAGTGATCCATTAATTTAAAAATAAAATGCACCTTTTTGCTGGCCAGTTTCTACTAGCATTGAAATCAAAGTACTTTATAATTCCTCCTTAATATACATTTTACACATGTTATGGCCAATATCTAGAGGAAACCTATTCAATTTAACTTCCCTTAAATCAGAGAACCATTTAGAATTTCAGATCATATGAAATGCTACCGCTCTAATTGTTACACAGGTTGGCTTCCTGCCCAAATAGGAAGCAGTTTTCCTATGGTAATAGACGAAAGCAGAAATTCTTTAAACATGTAATTTTTAAATATAGTTCAATAAGTTAGTTAAGATTTTGGGTGTTTTATTTAAAAGTCAGAAATAATTTGACACTTATATCACTATTAGTGATCCAAAGGCATTGAAATTTCAATTAGTTCTATCACTTCTAAATGGTTCTCTAAATGTAACTATGGCTTATCTGGCCATTAAAGGATTTCTGACCCTAAAATATAATATGCATGTTCAAAAATGAAAGAGGAATAATAAATTTATATAAATGTTCAATCTCATTCCAAAAATGTCTTACAAAAATGTTTCAGTAAGTACTTCCTAAAAACATTTAGCAGGTTTTAGGACCTGAAAAATAATTTGCAGTTGGAAAAACACTTTTTCTGAGGAGGAGAAATGTTCTAGTTTTCAAGACAATTTATATAGTAACAGGGAAAGTCATTCAAAAAATTAAATTTGGGTTCAAGAGAAGTTTTAGAAACAGAGCATTTCATTTAATCCCTAGCAACAAGTCTGGTAATGATAAATGTATTCCTAACATGTAACCTACATGCAGACTATGGAACAGCTCTTCCAAGGCCAGAACAGAAGCTCCACTTAGGAGCTAGGATCACCACCACAAAATATTACCTCGTGGGGCTCCCCGTGGTCCACTCTGCCCAGAGCCTCGCTTGAAATTCTGCTGATATCCATCCTAAAAGACAAGCTAGTTAGTACTGAAGAAAATGTAATCTTTTTAATGCTTACTCATCATCTATCTATTCTTACCGACACTTACAGAACACAAAATTCTTCCTTATTCTTTTACACATTTCATCATAGCTAGAAGTTATTCTGTAATTATACTTGTTATTCTCAAGAATATTCAATGAGATGTCTCTGCTCTTAAAAATCTTTTTTTTTCTCCTACACACATTTATTTTTATTCACGTATAATTAACACAGTATTATATTAGTTTCAGGTGTACAACAGAATGACTCAACAATTCTATGTATTTCTTAGTGCTCAAGGTAAGTCTACTCTTAATCTCCTTTATCTGTTTCACCCATCCCCCTATCCACCTCCCCTCTCTGGCAACTACCAAGTTTATTCTCCATTTAAGATTGTTTTTTTGTCAGTCTCGGTTTTGTTTCTTAAATTTTACATATGAGTGAAATCGTATGGTATCTGTCTTTCTCTGACTTATTTCTCTTAGCATCACACTCTCTAGATCCATCCATGTTCCTGCAAATGGCAAGATTTCTTCTTTGTGTGTGTGTGTGGCTGAGTAATATTCCATTATATATACCACATCTTCTTTATCCATTCATCTAGTGATGGACACTGGGGTTGCTTCCATCCACATCTTAGCTATTATAAATAATGCTGCGATAAACACAGGGGTGCATATATCTTTTTGAATTAGTGTTTTCCTTTTATTTGGGTAGATACCCAGTAGTGGAATTACTGGGTCATATGGTAATTCTATTTTTAATTTTTTGAGGAACCTCCACACTGTTTTCCACAGTGTGAAATTAGCTGCACCAATCTGCAATCCCACCAACAGTGCATGAAATCATTGTTTTTAAGACTCTATTAAATGAGCACCTATGCTGAGTACTTCTTAAGAAAAGCAGAAGTCATCATTTTTATCTTGTACAAAGGTACAAAATTAGCCCCAAATTACTTAATTACTGAAGTCCAAAAAACCACATCAGTCCATTTCATTGGTGTATTTAGGTCAGGTTTGTATTTTAAAGCAACTTCTACCTACCCGCTGATAGCCAGAGTAGTCCCGGGGAGCACTGAACTGAGACTGTGTATAACCACTGTTTGGAGTGTTAGAGAATGAAGGGCGGTAACCATCATATCCTCCTAAAATTTAGGACAAGAAAATAATTTTCTTATCTACACAAGGAATTTTTACTTCTTACTATTGACCAAAGGAAGAACTGAAAAATTGTAAGCCATGCTAGTTCTTTAAACTAATTTCTAGTTTCCTATCCTGATCCAATCTGTTCCTAAATTTCTGAGTATTAACTTTCTTGGAAGAGGACATTTTTACCCATTCATGCACACACACCCCCACACAAAAAAAATCCCCATAAAGTCTGATAATGTGTGGAAAGCAATTATCACCTAGAGGACACAGAAGACATGGATTTGACACCTAAAAAAATTCATTCCTAATTTTATCAATTTAAATGCCTATAACAGGACCACCTGGGTGGCTCAGTCGGTTAAGCGCCTGCCTTCGGCTGAGGTCATCATCTTGGGGTCCTGGAATGGAGCCCCACATCGGGCTCCCTGCTCAGCAGGGAGTCTGCTTTTCCCTCTCCCTGTGCCCCTCTCCCGGCTTGTGCTCCCTCACACTCTCTCAAATAAGTAAAAATCTTTTAAAAAAATAATTGCCTATAACATACTAAGAATGTTTAAGTCGTACATAAAAGGCTAATGCAGATACATATCTTTCCCAAAAACCTTACGACATATTTCTATGTGTTTTATAAATCAAAAAAGAACATAAACTTGCTGCTGCTTTTTTTTTGTACCTCTGAATCCATTGGCAGGGCCCCTGTATCCATTCATCAAGCCTCTAGCACCACGGGAACCACCACGAGACACACCACGACTGTTATAATAGGGCTGACTGCTACGTGGAAATCCAGTGTTCTGCTGGGGAGGCTGCTGGTGGTTACCAGTCACTTGATGGGGCTGGTCCTGGGAACCATGGTAGGTGCCAACCACTATAATAAAAAGAAAAAATTTATACACACACACACACACCGCATACACATAGCACATTACAACCTGTTCTCTCACATTTTCTGGTTTAAGGGGTGTCTTATACTTCTTCCTCAAATTGTCTTTAAATTTTCATATTAACAATAGTGAAAACTATACATTAGTTAAGTCATTAAGTCCCTATTTTTCTCCTACCCATATATTAATAAGCTGAAGAGAATACAATTCTCCAACAATAATTCCAAACCTTTAGAAGCACACAAATGTGTGAGATCACAAAAATCTATCCTTCCAAATGAAACGAAAAAACCTGTATTATTAAACATCTTCTAAGAGGCATCTGCCTACTAGCACAAGAGACCCACAATAATTCAGAAGATCTTACATACTAAAACAATACAATTACCATTTTGTATCATTTGTTTCTTTTCACTATAAAACTCCTTAGTGGTAAAAGCTTTCTCATCCTTTTAAATTTCCCTTGATACTTAGTGAAACATACAAAACCATACTCTCCCATAGCTAGACAACCATATGGTGGAATATTCAGTCAATTATAAAGATAAATCAGCAGAGGCCTTCAACTTATACCCCCCCTTAATGCCTGATTCCATTTCAAGTACTTTTAAGTACAACCAATTTAGAAGACAGTTAAATAGCACTCACACTGGCACTCAACCTGATGAGGTGAAGAGAAGATTCTAGAAGGTTCACACTAAGCTTGCACACCCCCTCCTCCTTCCACAATGGGGAGAAGTCTAGAATCTAGAAATCTTCAAAAATTAAATCCTGAGGTACCTTTCTGCTATTATCCCAATGTTTGTAATTCCCAGGAAAAATGGGATGCAAACACTACCTTTGGAAGGTATGGAAGGTAGAGACTAAAGGAAGGCCCACACCCCAGGAACAAAAACAATCAGCAACCTCTTGGCAGCCCAAATCTTCCATGTTTAGGCAGAAAGAAAAGGTGGTATGACCTGAAAAACTTCACCTGATATATTTTGTATCCTGAAGAAACCCCAAACACATTTATCAGTTCTTAGAATGCTATTTGGAGTGAAAAAGCCCAAGTATGCCTAGGAGGAGAAGGGGTCATGGCTCCTTTTTGAACTATGTAATTAATGGACCAATTACACCATTCACTGTGTGATCTTTCTACAGAGTGCCTTTCACTACATTCCCCAAATTTAAAATTACAGGCAACTATCATGATTACAGGTAACATTTTCTATTTGAAGAGATTTGATTCACATGCATATAGAGAGTGGTCAAAAGTGAATTTTCAACTCAACTTTTTATCAGTAAGAATTGTATTAGTCTTGGTCAAATCTCACTGCAAGAAAACTCAGAGCAGTACAATTAAAGCACTTCATTTAAAAATACCAGAAATCAGGGCACCTGGGTGGCTCAGTCGGTTAAGCGTCTGTCTGCCTTCTGCTCAGGTCATGATCCCGGGGTTCTGGGATCGAGCCCTGCATCAGGCTTCCCTGCTCAGTGGGGAGTCTGCTTCTCCCTCTGCGCCACCACCCCCCCCGCCAGGCTCATATGTTTGTTTTCTCTCTCTCTCACAAAATAAATAAAAATAAAATCTTGAAAACAAAACCAGAATTCCTTTAAAAAAAAAAAAAAAAATTTCTATCGAAGTGTTTGTACAGCATAAACTCTAAGTCCATAAATAATAGCCAGATTCTTGCCATATCCCTTTTGCAGGTTGTTCCTGACTAGACAGTACAATCTGCTGTGGAACAGGTGTATTTGGGGCCTTTAGACATCGTGCTGACATGCTTGAGTACATGGCAATAATTAAAGGAGCCTGAGAGCATGAAGCCCAGTTTTACCACTCAGCAGCTGACCATAGATAGCATAATGGATAAGTATCAGATTACAGTTGATTCAAACTCCCTACTAATTACTGGTGCTTAATACTACAGGAAATGTGTAAGAATTTAGTACTGAAAAATCCATAATGTTGATCCAAGTCTATCAAGAAACTGGACAATTAGAATATTTCATAGTTATTTAAATCAGTGTGGTAAAATTAGACTATTAACTCGTATGATTTTAGAAAGGTTTGCTAGTTTGTTATGGGATTCCAATTAAACAACCTGGGATCTAAATAACCAAAGACCTAAAGCAGGTATTTCACACCTTACAAAGTTCAGAAATCTACAATATCTCTATCTACATTATTGCAATGTGTGTGGTAACTAGCCAACTTATGAATGACCTTACTTGCCAACAGAGACTTCGTTTCAACCTAATCTACCAAATATAGCTACCATGAGGTTTTTGCATATTTTATTCTAACTAGCACACTGACAACCAAGCCAATTCCTTACTGCTTCTTAACTTTGTATAACTGACTTACTACCTACCAGGTATCATGCTCGTTGGCTTCAATTAATTAGCAATTAAAAGTAAAGTTGATCATAATTTGAGTAACAAGTTTAGTTCCACTAAAATCATAGAATGAAACAGGGATATTATGAATGCTTACTGACCAAAAGAAAATTGGCATAAGGCCTCAAAAAAAAGTGCAGGTAATTCACATACAATAAATATGGACTCGATTTAATGAAAAATCCATAAGGTCTACTACTAAAACAAAAATTCTTGGACACTAACACTCTAAAGTCTAAACTCTCCTAACACTATCAGTAACAGTTGGAAAGCAAGCAGCCAAGGAAGGGACGCTGGTTTTCCTACCTGTTTGAAGCTGTTCTTGCTGAAGGTCTGTTTGTTCTACTTGGTGAGGCTGACTAGAAAAGCTCTGGTTATAACTGGCCTGGTACTGATTTTGCTGTTTCAAAGTTTCTGGTTCATTAACAGGAGGAACTGGGGCATTCATATTGAACACCTGTAAGTAAATAAAGTAAATGATTACTTCATCCCTTTATGCTAATAATTTCCCTACTTTTAACAAGGCAGACCTCAATGCTGGTTTTACCTCAAATGTAAATGCATTACAGAAGTCTCAAACACACACACACTCTCTCTCTTACAGAAGTCTCAAACACACATACACACTCTCTCTCTATATATATATATATTTACATACACACATACACACCACATAGCACTTAAAGGAGAGCATAAGAGGGGATTAAAATCTAAAAAGACACACAAAGGGGTGCCTGGGTGGCTCAGTTGGTTAAGCGACTGCCTTCGGCTCAGGTCATGTTCCGGGATCGAGTCCCACATCGGCCTCCCTGCTCAGCGGGGAGTCTGGTTCTCCCTCTGACCCTCTTCCCTCTCGTGCTCTCTGTCTCTCATTCTCTCTCTCAAATAAATAAATAAAATCTTTTAAAAAAAATAAAAAAATAAAAAGACACACAAAGCAGCAGCCTTAGAAATGCTACTATAAATAAGAAAGCTTTTTAAAGGATGCAAACCCCTGATACAATGTCACTTACAGAAATTAATTCTATGAACTTTAAATTTGAGTTGAATATTTTATTCATTTTTTTATTTTTATTGACATTTTAACCAAAAGTTAATATTTTAATATTTAACTCTATGAACTTTACCATGACCACCAATTTAGCTATATCCCATTAATTACAGTATTTTTATCATTGCTTTCTAGTAATTCTGCAATTTAGAGATGCTTACTGAAAAACCACAATGAACTATAATATGTGAAATTTACTATGAGAAACTTCAGTAAGGTAAGATTAAGCAAATATGGAAAAATGCAGACAATTGTTAAATCTATCTTTAGATATCGTAGTAGTCTACTTCTCTGCATGTTTACTTTTATTAATCAAACCAAAAGGATGAAACTATAAAAAAGGAAGATGTGAGTACATAACTCCTAAGTGTCAAATGTTATCTCTGGGAACAGGAAAAAATTAGAGTTTATGTGCAATTAAATATATTCCACAGTTTGGATAGATGCAAACTCAAACACAAAGCTAAATGAAGACTTTTCTGCTGACACTCTGGTATGATCATAGTACACACCAGGCATTTAATGTTAGTTCAGTTAATTTACTTACCGTTTGCATGGATTGGAATGGAGCTGCATTTACATTGATTCCACTACTATGTAATGGTTTGCTTGTCCCAGCCTGGAACACCTGAGGCTGAGAAGCAGCCGGAAGGGATGATGATGCTGTAGTCTGGTCTGTATTTAAAGAGATTGTTGCCTAAACACAAAATGAATAGATGCATTTTAGTGGTAAACTGAATTTAGCCAAGTCTACTATCCAAGACTTAGTATGTTAAGAAATTCAACTATTTCATAAAAGCAAAATACTGTATTGCATGCATTAGGTCCAAAAAGAATCACAATATTAACACAATATTTACCTCTGCCCAATTCATGAATAAGTGCCTCATCAAGTTTATGTTACCTAGTAACAGAAACTTGCCTGAATCTGGTCAATTGGTTCCTTTTGTGGTCGCTGCTCTGTAGCATGAGAAGGCTGGTACAAGGGTTGAGATGCTGTATACCCCTCACTTGTGGATGAAACCAAAGGAACCTACACAGAAGTAAAGCAATCAAAGCTGCTTTCTGTTATAAACTCTAAGACAGACAGGGCTAAGAAACAGATATACCTGCTAAAGAGATTATAAAGCCTAACAACTGCAAAAAATACATCTAATATTAAAGCTGAAAGTTAGATAAACCCAAGTCCAGTTATGAAGTCCCCCAACAAATGCTTCTAAATGGCAATATCTACACTAAATTTTAGAATTATGACATTTAAATAGGTCTTCTCAAATTCTACTCCGTTCAAAATAAAAAGGCATCTTCCTTCATTAAACATGAGGACTATTATAAACATGAGACTTAACAAAAAACAGTGTTTTTTAAGTTATTAAAACAAAAGTAAATGTAACATGGAAATAAAGGCTGACAGCTACCCACTCCAGACTCAGACAATGATAAAATTCATACCTGACTTTCAAAAGCCAATTAAAGATACCCAAGAACTGATTAAAAACAAACCTACAGCAGTATTTCTGTCACTCTTACCTGTGTAGCTTCTGGTTGTACAGGAACTTGATTAGGTTGAGCAAGTCTAGATTCAGAATGAACTGTAAAATTGACCAAAAAAACCCCACTGTTATCCAGGAATCAAATTTCTTTAGAGAAAATTTCTATAGCCAAATCCTAAAAAAAACTTTTTAGTGATCATGAAAAAAACTGGAAAAGTATAGGTAAGATTTTAGCTTTCAAGTGAGCATTTTGGTTTCCTGGTAATCATTATTAGTCAACTCTCACAATGGCTTTCATTTTGAGTTCTGCTAAGGTAAAGTAAGACGTCAGTGAAAAAGTACTAACAAAGAGGTATAGAGCAGAATAGGCAAGAATCAATGCCACAGTTATCCATGAAAAAGAGCCTTTTAATGTGGTAACTACAAAGTAGCATTACCCTTACTCAACACCTAAGACAGACAATATTCAGTAATATTTTAACATTATCAACTTTCAATATAATCTTAAATGCTTCCACAGGAAAAAATAAGAATACACCTTTTAAAAAAACCTATATTCAAATTGTTAACTCTTACCAGTCTTCTACTCCCTTCCCCAACCATGGGTTAAAGAATCAAAAATATTGGATCTGTGGTTAGTCATTTAGAAATCACCCATTTTCATCAGAGAGGCTAACGAACTCAGCATTAACTGAGTATCTAAATGGCTTACAGGTTATATCAATGCTGTACGTGTTGATTTTGGCACAACTTTCCAACTATAAAAACTGTGTTAGTCTTCCTCTGGTAGAATATGGAAAATGAACCCTAATTACTTTGATTCCTTTCCAGAAGGCCTAACCCTGATTTGTTTTTTAACTCTTGGTAGAAACGTTAGAGATATGAGCTCCCTTTACTTTGGAGAAATCCTAACTACCTTAACAAATTAACAGTGTCATTAAACATGCTTTCTCTCAGCAACTCCTTTTATGACACTGAAGATTTATATGACATTAAATATGTTATTTTATATAGTTCCACTTTTGTGCCCTTAATGATGACATGTTCTGGGGAAAAAAACCAAGACTCAAAATTACTAATGGTCCCGGAGAAAAAGTGTCCACATAACGGAGTACAAAACACCAACAACTCTATTTAGTGCTATTTCTAATAATGGTGTAAGATTAGTAGGAGTTTGAAACTTCAACTGTCTTTTGGCCTATCTTCGCCTTTCCTCTTAAACATCCCCTTAATCACTTTACTGTTACATCTCATTTTTATTTAGATAATAAAATGTTCACAAATTCTCCTAAAAAGCTGCAAGCATCCTTCAGAGAGAGACCCCTCTATTATTTTTATGCTTAATTTTGAAATTTAAAAAGCCAAGCAAAATTTAATTTATATAAATTATAGTAACAAGCAAAATTGGTCTGTAATGTTACAAATCAGGAAATGTTTCCCACAGGGCTGGAAGAGAGGGTAACTAGTGACTGAAAGTCTTCTGAGGTACAGGTAATATTCCATTTCTGGGTGCTGGTGTGTTCAGTTTGTGAAACTCATCAAAGCTGTACATTTGTACATTTGTACATACTTAAGTCTATGTGTGACAAAAGGTTTAAAAAAGCAACAGAACTACAGTTATTCATATTACAGGGAAAAACAGTAAACCTTTCTTATCAAATTAAAAGACACAAGATCCAAAAGTTAAGCAAACATTAAAAGGAAATAATTTTCATATGCTTTACAAAACCTGAAAGCACTGGCCCTATATTTCACACATAAGAATAGATCATTACTAACCCGGAGGGCAAACCAGCTGAGGCATGTCCATGTTTTGTGTCGGATTCATAGGCTGTGCAGATACAATGGCAGGATCAAGTGTCTGGTTTTCAAAATCCAGCATTGAATCCTGCAAGTCAGGATATAATGGAATTAAATTAAATCACGTAAACACTTAAAACTTTCAGTCAGTGTTTGACTCAACCGCACCTACCTGTATGAAGTTATAGGGTCCCTGCATTTGCGCCATAAGGTCCTGGACTCGCTGTCTTCTCACAAGGGGATCTGCCTGAGCCACTGGAGTCAAAGAGTGGGGCTCTGGTACTGAAGGAGATGCAGCCTGAGGTTGCTGCTGGAGTGAATTTACCACCTAAAGGGGATAAAGAGGGGAGGGATGCAGACTGGGAGAATGCAAGAGCTCCATTCATATATGGCACTATACTATAAACAAAACAGTAGGCTTTAATGTAGTTACTCAAACTGACTATAATCATAAATTTAAAATTTAACATTCAGTGCTATCACTTCTAGAGTGTTCTCAATTCCACAGGATCACTATGTAGCATTTCAGATTTACTTTATAACCTGCTTTCAAAGATTACCCATGCTTGCTTCCTAAAAGAATGTATTCTGCTTCAACTGCTATTCCTTCTATAGTAATTAAATCTGTATTTATCTCAGTACCTGATACATAGTCAGCACTCAAGTTAGTTATTATCATCAAACTCTGAGTTCCTACCATTTCATTCTCTCTGCTAATACCATAGAATCAAGCCCTATCACCTTATCTAACTTGCTACAAAAGCCAAAGCTCACTACACCTACCTTTTTCCTGGCTCTAATAATTTCTGATTATTATTTAGTAATTCCCTGCTCTTCTGGGAAATCTCATTAATTTTTATTATATCAAATTTACATTCTGTCTGGCTTTTAAACCTGGGCAAGTCATACCTGGTGAGCCTAGATAAATCATAACCTTACTTCTCTTATAAGCCATAATGAGATAATAATCACTACCTAAATTGTTATGAAGACCAACTGATGTGTCATCTACATCAGGTTGCTCAAAAAATTCCTTAGAATTCCATCTGGATAGCCTTTAGAAAGGCCCTACCTACCAAGTACTTAAGAACAAACCATACTGGCACATTACTAAGTATGATAATATACTTTTCTCTCCCAATAAAAAGCAAAAAAGTACTACTAAGCTCTGTTACTTCCCAAACTTTACTACTATGCCAACATATACTTTTCATCCCTAATGTTCAATAAAACAAATATGCTAATAATTCATTTCTACCCCTATATCCATGCTAATATATACCAATTACCTCACTCCCCTAAAAACATATGCCAAATCTACTTAGTCAAGGCCCAAGAGGTTTACATACCTCATATATAAATCACCATTCTACAGATCTTTTATATCTATTGTTCTTTTAACGCCCCTCTAATATTTCTGAACTGCCTTGCATAATTCAGCAAATACATACTGTCTTGCTAGGGCTTCATGGGACACTGTTTTCATCCAAACTAGGTAACTTTCTAGAGTACAGGGCAAGTTCTTTACTCAAGCTATCAATAGTGCATTTTAGTACATCAATAAAAAGCTAAAGGTGTTAATACAATTACACCTTTGGAGAATGCTCTTGATGGAATAACAATATTAAAGAGAAAAGCATATTATTCAAAGCTATTTTTTCTGTACTTTAGATATATAAAAGAAGTAACCTAAAAGAGGATGGGAAGGATGGCAAGGACCAACTTGGCAAGGCATTTTGATTTTTATCTTATAGGTAACACAACACCATCAAGAGTTTCAAGTAAAAGTAACTTAATTAAAACTAAATCTTCTAATAACTGACCTATAAAACTGAATAGGATGGCCAGGGGCAGTCAGAAAAGAAAAATATGAAGGGGGCACCTGAACTAGACATGAGGACCTGAAGAAAGGTAATGTCAATTGAGGAAAAGATGACACTCCAACATATCCCTTGGAAGGTGGGCCTTTTCTGAAGGCTATCCATATGGGTGCCCAGATTTTTACAGAGCAACCTGGTATCAACACACAAATCATATACTTTAATAACCCTAACTTACACACAAATAACTTTATATAAATTTTCTATAGCTGGATCAGCAGAGATTCTACTAAACATTCACAGGTATAAATAATCTTTTAAACATAATGATCTTGTTATGTTTAATAAGTTTGTTATGATAATAAATGTACTAAAAATGCAAAAAACTAACAATCTTAATTTGTTCTTAGGAGATCCAAAAATTACTAATAAAAACAAAAGATAGCAACCGTGTAACCGAGAGAACTCTTACCTCAACTGTTTCAACTGTCCACTCATCTACCTGCTCCTTTTCACCACTGCTGAACTGTGTTTCTGCCATAAATTGTCTATTTACATACTGCAAAGCAAAGTAAATGTTTGAGAGTTCTGTTTGAAAGGCAGAAAAAGAAAGCTAACATTAAATAAAAATCATACCTCTGTTGATTCAACTTCACTTTGTTCGGTGTATTCTTCTGCTGGCTCAGGTTCTAAGAGGTTAAGAGAGGATATAAATGAAAAGTAAGAAAATCTTTTGAAAATTAACAATTCATTTAAACTCCAAATAAGTTAGCAGTTTACCATCAAATAGCCGGAATTTATTTACAAAGTTATAGTCAGCAGTAAGTTTCTGTATTTTAATCATTCTTACAATAATGTATTTAGAAAGAGTTTTCTTTACCATTTACTCCAGAATGAATTAGGTTCAAGAGTATTTCTGATTAGGTAAAATGCCAAGAGCTAAGTTAAAACTTCTCTCTCTAGCCTTAAGAAGTAATATTATAAAGCAGCATACAGATTAAAATCTTACTCTCTATTTTAATCAGTTGGTGAAAGTAGTTAAAGGTGGAGAGAAGACTTCCTTATGTTGATCTGCAAACAATAAATTCCACCAACGTGCAATCTTCCCTTCTAGTTTCAACCTTATAACACTGTATGAAGTGCTTACTATGTACCAGATACCATATACATACATACTTCACATACTACTTTCTAAATAGAGAACCTGAGATACAGAGAAATTCAGTTGCTTGCCCAAAGTTACATAGCTAATGAGGGTCAAAGCCAAGCTTTCCATCCAGGCAGTCTGATTCAAGAATCCGTGCTTTTTAACCACTACAAAATTTATGCTCTGACAATGCTTCCAATGGTACTCAATTTTATCAACTTAAGTTATCATAAAAGTACTCCTAGTGAGTACTTACCTACTTATTAGTTTATGCTAGGTGTTAAAGTTAATTGGAAAAGATCCCTTGCCATTGACAGTTACAGTTCAAGATTACAGATTTATAATCACCCCAACATTTAAATCACAGACACGCACGCACACACGCACACACACACGCGTGTGTGTACCCTCATGCTATTCACTTCACATACTAGCATGGTAAACAACGATAAATCTGGGCATGTCAACCACAATGTACTTAAAAAGCCCTACAACATTTCCCCTCATCTATACTCCAGCCCAGCAATACTGCAATAAAAAAAACTATCAGTTTTTAACAGTGATCCAGGGGAGGATGGGAGACGGAGAGGATCTTAAACAGGCTCCACACCTAGCATGGAGCCAGATGCAGGGCTCTATCTCACAACCCTGAGATCATGACCTGAGCCACAATCAAGAGTGGGACCCTCAACGGACTGAGCCACCAAGTTGCCCCTAAATGACTGATATTTAATACCTCTGGGAATAACTCTTAATACACATTGTTTGAATATTTTGTCTTGCTTAAAGTTTCATTAAAAACCTCAATGTGCATATGTAACTAAGTAAATGTATAACCTGAACTTGTGGCAAAAGAAGTAAAGCCAGGACTATAAACTAAAGCTCATATCCCCCTAAGTACTTACCAGCTTCAGCTACCTGGTCTTCAACTGTAGGTGCTGAGGCTGCCTCTTCTTCCTCACATAGCCCATTCTGGTGGTTGTGAGTGCTGTCAAAGTAGTTTGACTGGAAAACACGCTCAACAATTTCCTTTAGAGCTTTATCTAAAAATTAAATATGAATTATAATGTTATCTAAAAATTAAATATGAATTATAATGTCAGCCATCTCAGGATGCCTGACTTGAATAAGATTCAACATGCTACAAAATACTGCCCTAAGAAAAAAACCTTATCAACTCTTACTGAAACATACATATAAAAAACATTAAAGTCCACCAACAACAGGAATCATGGAATGACAGATAACAAGAAGCTATTAGTATTAAACTTTATACACTTAAAGGAAGTTAGTTCAAAACAAAAAGCTGACAACTATCATTTAATTCATTTAGTATGTATTTAACACCTACCTATATGTTGGGCAACGCGGTAGGCAACAGGGCTACAACAAGATTTGTAAAAGATACAGTATCTGCCCTCCCTAAGTTTATAGTCCAATAGAGAAGAGTTATCAGATACAAAAACAGTAAAATCACATCTGTGAAAAGTACTACACAGAGGTACAATGGATTGGACCTAGGCACAAAGAAACACAAGAGGCTTTCCTGGTGCGTTAAGTGCTGCAAGAGCACCGATCTGGAAGATGAGTAGTAGAAAGGAGAGAAGTGTTTCAAGATAGAGACAACAGCATTTACAAAGCCCTGTATAAAGAGAAAGGGTGCCAAATACAAGAAAATGAAAGCATGTGCTGTGGCTGAGGCATAGGGAGTAAGAAAAAACATAACATAAAGAAAAGACGAGTCTAGTAAGGGCCAGAACATGCAAGGTCTTTAAGTTAAAAACAACTGTATGTAAAATATAATTAAAAGAAAGCCATTAAGGGCGCCTGGGTGGCTCAGATTGTTAGGCTTCTGCCTTTGGCTCGGGTCATGATCTCAGGGTCCTGGGATCGAGTCCCGCATCGGGTTCCCTGCTCGGTGCAGAGCCTGCTTCTCCCTCTCCCTCTGCCTCTCCCTCTGCTTGTGCTCTTCTGTCTATCTCTGTTGAATAAATAAATAAAATCTTTAAAAAAAAAAATAAAAAAGAAAGCCATTAAAAGAATTTAAAGAGGGATGCGGAGGGTGGATTCAGTTAAGAGACTGCATTAGAAAAGAGGCAGGAAAGTGGAAGAGAAAAAGAAGTAGATTCAAAAGATATTTAAAAGGCAAAACTGTCAGAATTTGGTACACTTGGATATAAGGGGGCAGGGCAGCAGGTGAAGGTATGTGTCAAGAATTAATCTCAATTTCCTGGCCTTATATATAGTACACGTAGAATGTACCTATGTTTGTAGAATGTATTCTCCAGTAGGTCACTTTACAGAAAAATAAAACTTCAAGGACAGTATCAAAATATCATACAGTTAATCCTGTTAACAATAAAACTAACAACTTTTTGAATGAACATTTCATGTTTCCCTTCCTCTGCATCAGAGGCTCGTAACTAAGAACTATTTGTTTTAAAAAACTTATGCATGAAAACTAAATGCACATGAAAACACCAATTTGAGTTCATTAGTACCTCTTCATTAGCAATAAAGATCTTACATTCCTAAGATGAGTGAACAAGACTAGTAGAAAGTAACACCAAAATAAGCTACAAGCTTATTTAACCCTTGTTACTCCTCAGTAATGATCAGGCTTGACCTAAAACTATTTTTTCAAGCTAACAAGTTTATACACACACGTAGATTTCTTTCTATTAGAACTTCAAATGATAAATTCAGTACATATTTGGTGCAGAACTAAAATTAAGAAGCCAAAATGATTTTTTTACAAAGAAATACAAATTCTTTTTTTACAAAGAAATACAGCCCTGCATCGGGCAAGTTAACAAACCAAGAAAATTATTTCTTACATGAAAAGTTACAAAAAGGCTGGTTCCTCATATTTGATTTACCTATTTCCTTAAAGCAAATACACTCAAATTACATCATACAGTTTTGCCAGTTAAAGCTTTTTATCCAGTTTTTCACTGAATAGCTGTATAAACAGATACTTTTACCTTAGTATGTTCAAAATCTACTTTCCTAATCAACTTCATAAATAGCAAAGAACCTATTCCCTTATTTACTAAGGAAATAAACCTAAAATTCCTAATTTACTGAGGTAGTGAAGCTTAAATGGCCCTTTATTTTCTTTAAAATCAATATGCACTGCACATTTGAGGTTAAGGTTTAAAAAAAAAATACAAAAAAATTAACATCCTCAAATTAGCTGAAGTCTAAAAAAAACTAAAGAAAGACGAAGGCAAGCACCATGAGTAAAACATATGAGGTACAGTAAGCATTTTTCACAAAATTTCACCAGTAAGGAAAAAAAAGTCCCTATCTAATACCAACAACTCTGAAAAGTCTATTTGGTGTTAATCTGTCTACCTCAAGCAGAGTAAGTTATAAACAAAACCATGTTAAGTTAGGATTCCCATCTCTACAGATTTAGAATTGGTATTTTTGACTTACACATACACACACACACACGGCAAAAAGAAAAAAAAAGGAAGTAAACCAAAAGTAAACAGTAGATGAATGTTATTTACACAGTTCTGAAATTTCTTTAATTAACATTACTTTTAAATAGAAAACCAGTTTTTAAAGACTCTTAGTTACAAAATAAAAAACTGTAATACTCACAGGTTGTTCCACATACAGCTTTTTCCTTTCCTTCCAGTAAGTCCCATAGGTGAATGGAAGCATGTTCATACTGCTCATTCAACCTTATTAATAATTAAAAAGCTAATTAATTACTTCTTAGTTGTCAAGTCAGCACTTAGAAGTTTCTACTATCAAATACCACTATACCTCAAGCTCATGTCCCGTTCAGGGTCTGCTAATTTGTAGAATTCATCCAACAATGACAATTCCTCTTCAGACAATATTGGCACTCCATTCAAACCTTGCTTCAGATCAGTTCTCACCTCATCATCTCCCAATTTGTCCAAAACATACTGGAGCTCAAGTACAGTTTTTAAACGTTTTTGTTCTGCTTCTTCTCTCATAAGCTGCTCCCGACGCGCTGTCTTCTTTATTGTTTTCTGAATCTGCATAAATATGTAAGCATAAGACACTGAAATGAATTTCACAAAATTCCTAATTTAGTTCAACCAATTTCACGTCCAATATAAATAAGATACACTTTACTCAATGAGTATGTGATCTTGATATACAAAATGATGATTCCCAAATTACAAATAAAACTTTAATATTTAATATATCATCTGTTTTAAACAGTTGCTAGAAATTCAGAACACATCTTCCCCTATAAAGTATTATACTACTGAAATGTTACCAATAAAAGGATATATTTGGGATTTGCTTCAAAGTAACCTAGATAGGGAATAAGGGAGTAGGTGTGGGTATATATGAAATAGGACTGCCCATGAGATGAAAACTGTAGAAGCTGAGTATGGATACAGGGGTGTTCATTATATCCCTTTCTTTAGTTTTGCCATTTTTCTAATAAAAAGTATAAAAATTAAAATTTCTAATTAAGCCCCTGAGTCAATTAAAAAAGAAACAAGAAACCCAGGGGCGCCTGGGTGGCTCAGTCGTTAAGCGTCTGCCTTCAGCTCAGGTCATGATCCCAGGGTTCTGGGATCGAGCCCTGCATCAGGCTCCCTGCTCAGCGGGAAGCCTGGTTCTCCCTCTCCCACTCCCCCTGCTTGTGTTCCCTCTCTCGCTGTGTCTCTGTCAAATAAATAAAATCTTTAAAAAAAAAAGAAAGAAAGAAACCCAAACACAGTAACAATAAAAAAATCTTACCTATATCCATCTCCAAAAATGGAAAAATGGTCCAAATTTTTCACTTTAAATACCTACTATCGACTCACAGAGATGCTACAACCCACCACTGCCTTCCTCACCCCCAACAATCCACTGCTAGTACTATATTATCCCAACATATTGAAAATAGTGACTATGGAGTAACTGGCTGGCTCAGTCAGTAAAGCATGCGACTCTTGATCTCAGCGTCATGAGTTCAAGCCCCATGTTGGATGTAGAACCTACTTAAAAACAGTAATAAAAGGAAAAGAAAAAGAAAAGAAACTGACTTGTTTTTATGAATAAAGGTATGCTGGCAGAGAAAAAGGTGGAGGTAGAAGAGAAATATATGCTAAGTACACAGATATTTTCCCCCACTGTTCTTTTCCTTCTGCTAGTCTTTAACTTTCCTGGGAAGATAAAGGGAGAGCATCAACCAAACTCAAATACATCTCTCTTTTTCTCGTGCATAATAGTGTCAGCTTGGAGTCAAAAAAAGGTCAGACTTTTAAAGAAAGGTCACTCTTTTCAAGAGCCATAAAAGTGTTTTCCTTCCCACCTTCTCCCATTTCTCAAGCCTCAGCAGGATAAACTGAGACAGAAAAAAACAAAGACATACGAAATGTATAATAAAGGGAGAAATGAGGAAGAGAGACCTAGGAGAACAATGAAGTCTGCAATAAGACAAATCTATGATGGCAGCAGAGAGGGTAGCAGATTAAATGATATTTAACAGTAAGTAGCAAGTGAATACTACATACAAACATAGAGATGAAATCTAAGCTAGGGCAGTACAGAAAGCTTTCAAGGGAAAGTGACATCTACTCCTAAAACAGATGAGCTTTCAATCTTACTGGGGAGTAGGGGCTGGGTGTGTGTGTGCAGTTTTAGGGTAGAGAGGCAGCCAGTAGCCAGAGGCAGGAAATATTATAGGAAGAGACGCAGGAATGTGAAATTAAGTCAAGAAAGCAAAAGAAAGAAGATAAAGAATGCCACTTTGGATAAAATGAGCAGTTCAAGTAAGAAAGAATATGAAAACTCGAAAAGGTAGGCTGGAGCTAGGTTAAAGAACTTTTTTTTTTTTTTTAATTAGAGAGAGAGAGAGCACGAGAGCACGAGTAGTGGGGAATAGGGAGAAGCAGGCTTCCCGCTTAGCCAGGAATGGGACTCGGGACCCCAAAGGCAGACGCTTAACCAAGTGAGCCACCCAGGAGCCCCAAGAACTCTTGAATGCAAAACAAAGAAGGTGTTTAAAAATTGTGGGAAAGTGCAATAAAGCATCAGAGTTCAATAAAAAGACTGCCAATAAATTTAAATGCCTCGTGAAAAGTTCCTGAAAACATCACTGTTAAAACAGAAGCAAAAGAGAATGTAAGTATTTTCACTTACATGGTGTTAGTAGCTTGAGAAATAGATTGATTCTATTATTAAACTGTACAGCAATCCTACTTCTTTGATCCATATTTTTTTAAAGAAATCAGAAAAAGAAATTGGCCAGGATTCATCAAGCCTGAAGCTCTGACCTAGGTGAAGTGGAACAATTCCCTACTTGGGTATAAATTAAGTTTTCCTTTATTCCATTTTGAGGGATATCATCAATATTTTCCAACTTTAATCAAATTTAGTAAGTAACATATTAAGTGCATGAAATATATTAGCCATGAGTCAAATACTGTTCCAAGCACAACCCTGTGATGAGGTAGGGACCATTATTATCGCCACTTTACAGATTAGAAAACCAAAGCACTGTGACAGCCTCTCTCCTCTCCCTGTCTCTCTTTTGATACTACTGGTTCTGTTTCTCTGGAAAACCCTGAATGATATAGGGACAGACAAGTTCAGTAACTCAAAGTCCTACAACTATTAAATAAAAGTGGAAGAATCAGGATTCAAACCAGACAGTCTGGTTCCAGAATCAGAACTTTTTATCTCTGTACTGCAATGTCTCTCATCACATAATTGTTTTGTTTATTCACTTAACCAAATCTGAGGCAACTTTGTATTTAATGCTGTTAACCTTTCTCCAAATAAGGTAACACTAATTCAGAAGAATATGAATTTTCTGGTCTCCCTCAATTTTCAACAAATTATTTGACTTTGCTTGTATTTTTGTCCTGTTCCCAAAGACTTCTATCACATCAAAAGATGTATGGGAAAAACACACCACTTTGTTAGATCGTGAGTTGATACAAGAGCAATGTATCCCAGTCTGCCACATTCCTTAAGATCCCTAATGGAGACAGTGATTACCAAATATAAAAACAAGACTCTATTTTCTGATAGTTAATAGAACTGTAAGATGGTCATTAGGCATAAAGGAATATATGGAAAATAAATGTTCATATACAAGAAATATATGGAAAATACGTGTGTGTATATATATAAGCTAATTTTTTTTAACAATGAGATCTTTAGGGTAACTACTATATTAAGTTTGTCATATCTGAAAAAAAAAAAGTTTGTCATATCTGAAACCTCAGTTCTCAGGCATCTTTCAGGTGTTACATTAAACTTTACAGAATTGGAAAGCGTTTTAGGTGTAACTGAATGCAATCCTCAACTTGCAGAGAGCTTATCAACAGTAACGCAAGGACTAAAACCCAAAGAAAATTTTCTGCTTTCCTTATTTTTATTATTTCATAAACATACATATAATCTTTTACTTACATCTTGACTTAATGCCATGAAACTCCTCTGTAATTCTTTTGCAAACTCCAAATTATTTGTGACTTCCTGGTACTTAGATACGGCATCCTAAAATAACAAAGACAAAACCCAACTTTACTAAAACACAAAGAACCACAAATTAATTTTCTTATTAAAAACAGCAAACATATAGTCTTTAATAAAATGTAGCATCTTTACCAGCTGATCTTGATTAAGCCTTTCCCCTTTGTTCATTCGTTCCTGGTAATCATCAAGCTTGCCCTATGTTAAAAGAAAAAAAAAATAGAATTATGCCCCACATTAAAGTATATACCAGCCTAACCATGCTGAAATACAAACACATATATCCTCTAAGTTTGTCTCAAATCTTGCCCTAAAGATACGTTTTAGTTGATTTCAGTTTAAGTTAGTGCATGAAGTAAGTTAATCAACAGTGAGCTAAAAAATGAATGTAAATACTCCCACCCCTGCTGAATGATACCAAATTTTGTACTACAAGCCAATGACACAACACAACATTGCTTATTCTTTAGGTTTCTCAAAAAAGATCTGCATCAGATGGCCTGCACAAATGGTTCCTATCCACATGAGTGAGGGCCACAACATGGTTACAATCCTGCTTATACAGGAGCATATCAGACATTTTAGTGTTGAATTCTTGTCCCTCTCTTGCCCCTTGCCAAAGAATTCATGTGACTAAGTGATATAAAAAGAGTGTATTTTTCCTGAATAGACCCAAGTGCATATTATCTTTGATGTGCTTCATCCATTTCTTTTGAACACCATAATACTTCAGCTATCACATCACCTATGGATAGTGTGCTAGTCAATAGCTTTGCTTCATTTTCTCACAAATGGAATTAAATGTATGACAGTGGGAAAAGAAAATTAACCTCTGGCTTAAGTCATCTTTATTTTCACTAAAATAAAAACTTTGGCAGTTTCCCAGGCTACTACTATTTGATAAGACCCCAAAGAAAAGATATCCAGGTAATGCAAAAGTCAAGAACTGAGTTGTTTTAAATCTTTTTTTTTTTTTAATTTTTTATGTATTTATTTGAGAGAGAGAATGAGACAGAGAGCATGAGAGAGGGGAGGGCCAGAGGGAGAAGCAGACTCCCCGCCGAGCAGGGAGCCCGATGCGGGACTCGATCCCGGGACTCCAGGATCATGACCTGAGCCGAAGGCAGCCGCCCAACCAACTGAGCCACCCAGGTGCCCCAAGAACTGAGTTGTTTTAAAGGTCAGAGGAGAGTAAATAGAAACCTAAATTAAGGGAGAGAAATTTTAAGGGGGGAGGGGCAGAGGGAGAGAGAGGGAGAATTTTAAGCAGACTCCATGCCCAGCGTGGAGACTGACATGGGGCTCAATCTCACAACCCTGAGATCATTACTTGAGCTGAAATCAAGAGCTGGACACTTAACCGACTAAGCCACCCAGGCACCCCAAGGGGGAAAAATATTTAATTAATATAATCACAATAAATTATGAATATTTATTGTTCCTTACCCTCAGCAAAAATAAAATTAACCATAAAACAAAATACAAAATCTAATAAAATGCATTCAGGGTTAAAGAAACAAGTTTTAAAAACAATACTAGTTAGTTTTAGGTCAAACGATCCATTTTCTTTGTACCAGAAACATTAGTCAACTTGCATAACCATTCCACCCTAAATTAAAAAGCGTAACAGGACACCTGGATGGCTCAGTTGGTTAAGCGTCTGCCATTGGCTCAGTTCATGATCCCGAGGTCCTGGTATCACACCCCATGTCGGGCTCCCAGATGAGCGGGTAACCTGCTTCTCCCTCTCCCCCTCTGCCCCCTCCCTCTCCACCCTGCCCCTCCCCCACTCATTCTCTCTCTCTCTCTCTCTCTCTCTCTCTCTCAAATAAATGAAATCTTTAAAAAAAAGAAAGAAAGAAAAGCCTAACAATTCCTTAGTTATCTTGGAGGTAAATAAAACCAAGATAAACATTAAAACATTAAAGGCTGATGAAAGTATCCAATTGTATTCTTAGGTGGATTATTTCACACAACAACCTCCAGCTGGAAAGGTATAAAATTTGTCTATGGTTGAAAAATGAAGGCAGGCCTAATTCCAGGTACAAAAGATATGCTCAACTGCCTTTGAACACTCTTTGAGGATGAATAAAGGCAGTTCATTCTCTTTTTTAAAAGGGTAAGCTAACTTTTAAGAAATAAAAAACCAAACAAGATTTGCTTTTAATGATGACTTAGAGTATAATAATACTTTATTATAGTCAGGATTCCTCTATTTAGAAATAAACAGGTAACAGAAGATATGAGAATGAAAAGAGGACCCAAAATGTAGTGCTAGTACAGTAAAAATTCTGAATTCACTATTAGGTAGAAGAAAAAATACTGTTAGTTTATACCTGGCATTTATTATCTTCCCTTTTTATACATTTTTCAAAGCTGTTGCTAAATCTAAAGTAATAGAGTATATTATATATCCCTCATAGGGTAGAGTTTTACCTACCTAGCTTAGCTTTATCATTTAATGTCTTAAGAACTTAAAACATATATGCCAATTAAAATAGACATTAAATGAAATTCCTAAAAAATGTACATATATAAAAATATATATATGAAAAGTTTTTTTAATGTTAAGAATAGTACCTGAGTAGTAGAATTACAGGTGGAAATTTTTTCCTTTTGCTTTGTTTTGTATACTTAGATATTCTGCAATCAACATATACAGTTTAAATAGAAAATTAAAATTTCATGCTATAGAAGACAGTAAGAATGACAGATTTCAGGATACTGCCAGGACTTTAACCTATAATAATCCTTGACTATGAATCTATACTATCCTATACCAGGACAAGCTATCCTAAAGTAGAAAAACTCCAATTTTCTCCACAATAACAAATTTAGTATTCATCCAACCCAAAACTCTATGGCAGATTACATTTTCCAAAGACAGCTACATCTGCAGTTCTACATACTCTTCTACCATGTGACCTTGGCACTGCCCCATGTAGAACTAGTCCAATTCCTCTGCCACTGTATTAAGTGGGCTTCTACCAACAGAGTACAGTGGAAGCAATCCTGTAAACTTCCAAGGCTGTATCATAAAAGCAATGTATCTCTGTCCTGTTTGCTAGTCACTAAAAACACTCGTGTTTGGAGCCCCAGGCTATCCTACAAGAAGTCCAACAACCCTGAGGTTGCCATGCTATGAGGAAGCCAAGCCATGAAGAGGTCTTATATAAGAATTCTGATCAGCAATCTTAGTGTTAGTCATTCTAACCCAGGTATCAGACATGTAAGTGAACAAGCCTTAGTCTTCCCAGCTGAGGCCCCAGGAATCACAGAGCAGAGACACAAACCCCACTGTGTGCCCTGTCTGAATCCCTGACAGGCAGAATCTGTGTGCATCATAAAATGGAGTAAGTTTTGGAGTAATCTATCACACAGGAGTAACTGGAAAAACGTTAAAAGGGAAATCAAAACAAAGGGAAAGCAGCTGCTATATGAAACTCAGCTTCACAGTACACACCTTCATTGAATACTGTCACCAAAAACTATGCAAAGACTTTGCAGCCAAAACAAAGATCTATTTCCATTAAAACTCATACATCTCTTTCTTTTGATTTTTATAGTGCTATAACAGGTTTCAAATTTTTCAATCCATAATTTAAGAGCCATAATTTTCAAAGGGAGGACTGCCACTGACACACAAGAAATGACAGTTTACTGTGACAGAAGAAACACCTTAAAAAATTATGATGTAACTGAAAAATCTCAAGGATCTTTAACAGGGGATTTTCAAAAGATGATCACAGTTCCTTATACCTGGTGAGCTGAATTAATGCAGTTTTAGTGATGCAATCAAAAAATGTCATTAACTACAGGAATGGAAACTACAAATCTTTTTTTTTTTTTTTTTTTAGATTTTATTTATTTATTTGACAGAGAGAGACACAGCAAGAGAGAGAACACAAGCAGGGGGAGTGGGAGAGGGAGAAGCAGGCTTCCCGCCGAGCAGGGAGCCCGATGCGGGGCTCGATCCCAGGACCCTGGGATCATGACCTGAGCTGAAGGCAGTCGCTTAACCAACTGAGCCACCCAGGCGCCCCTGGAAACTACAAATCTTTTGTAAAACATTTTTCTAACCATAATAAAACAAAAGTTTCATTATAGCTTTACATTTATTCCTCTATAGCCATTAACACTTGCTATACTACCGTTATAAATATCCTATTCCCTTGTCCTGGCCCAATCTTCAAAAGAGCAAGATGCTGAGTCTGGTCAAAGTTCCTAATAAATAGCCCTCATTTGAGGAAACTGAAACTTACTAATAAGACTGCAGGGACAATTAGAAAACTGTTCTACATTAAAGGGCCCTAGTTGGTTTTTTTTTTATCAGTGTAATACAGGATCTCCTGGCTGCTTGGGTGTATAAGACTTTATCACCATGGCATTTGAACTAAGAGGACGACCTCTGTTGCCTATTACATATAATAAGATCTGTACATAGCAGGGACCCTGTGTTGATCTCCAAGTCAGTGATTTTCAAAGTGTGGTCTCCAAACCAGCAATATATCAGCATCGGCTAGGAACTTGTTAGAAATGTAAATTCTCAGGGCGCCTCAGTCGTTAAGCGTCTGCCTTCAGCTCGGGTCATGATCCCAGGGTCCCGGGATCGAGCCCTGCATCGAGCTCCCTGTTCCACGGGAAGCCTGCTTCTCCCTCTCCCACTCCCCCTGCTTGTGTTCCCTCTCTCGCTGTGTCTCTCTCTCTGTCAAATAAAGTAAATCTTTAAAAAAAAAAAAAAGAAGAAATGTAAATTCTCAAGGTGCCTGGATGGCCTGGCTCAGTCAGTGGATCAAGCAACACTTGATCTTGGTGTTGTGAGTTCGAACCCCCGTTGGGTAGAGATCACTTACAAAAAGTAAATCTTAAAAAAAAAAAAAGAAAGAAAGAAAAAATGTAAATTCTCAGGCACCACCCCAGGTGCCTCTGGGGGTGGGACCCAGCAATCTGTGTTTTATCAAGCCCTATGCACGATTCTAATATGTCGTTAAGTTTGAGAAACATTCACCTAGATCAAATACATTGTAATTCCCTTGTAATAATCCAGTAGAATACAGAAATAAGAAATTATTTTGAATCAAACACTGATACAAATTGTGACCATAAAAATCATTATATGACAGCCTCAATTTGGTTACTTAAAGGTTTAGCTTTGAACAAACTCAGAAAACTTGTTGATGGTGGTTTTCTAAACCAGC